TTTCAAAAAATTGTTCAAAAGTTCAGAATAACCTTATCCGTCCTCCGTTTTGTTGTGCAAAAGGGGAATATGGGTTTACTTTGTTTTATTCCGATCAGTTAGTTTATAATTTTTCAAACATCTTTTTGATTTGAATTTGGACTAGCTATATTAGCTAAAGCTGCTCTTCTTACTACGATTTTAGTACTTTTTCTGATTATTTACCTTGTTACGTTGTACTTTGTATCTTTGTAGGTCACTTGGATTATTTGTACGTTTGGCCCTTTTCCTAAGTTTATCTCGAACTCTTATATCTTTACGTGATTCGGAGGTTAAGGTTTATGATTTGGGCATACTAATACCCGACTTTGGGGAATTCATTTAAGATACGATAGAAAGATTCACGCGAATCATATATATTCAAGTTTGCAAATCGGACACTCCAATCATAGCTTTTGATAAGGTTATTTAATTCTTCAAAATTACCACGATTGTAGAGCACAACGTCCCTAACATAGTTAACTTTAGCAGTGACCTGTAAGTCGATTTCTCCGACTACACCCCTGTAAATCTGAATTTTTTTAATTTACTATTTCGGTTTTTAGATATTGGATGATTCTTGGAGCGCCAATTCAAGAGATGCCTCTAGCGTTTGCCAGAATAGCTTCTACTTTGTGGTCGATAGTATTATGATAGCAGCAAAGGAACATACCTAGTTTAAAGCTTCAATGGAATCCAGATGCATTCGATGGTGCCAAATTCAAGGTCAGGCCTTCTTTTACAATAATTTAGGTTTTCATTAACGTAAACAAGAATGCCTCCGCTTAATCTATTCCTTTTTTTTTCGGATTGGTGCGTGAAAATTATCCCGTCCAAGTTAAATATATGACATTTAGCCATTTACGTTCGTAAGGTAATAACCGTAATGGTTGGTAACTCTGTTACATGGTGTTGCACTGGGACCGGTCCATATACTGCTTTTGACAAGCAGGTTAAAATTTATGCACTAATTTTTGCTTTGTGGTGTCTCGTGGTATTTGCAATCTTATATCAATGAAACTTACCTCTATGCTTTAAATCAGTGAACACCGCCACATTTTGTCTGTTCGCTAAATCTGCAGTTTGAGGCGTGTGTGGTAAGGAAGCCCTGTGCGTGAAATTGAAATGTAGAATTTAAGAAGCAATCAATATATTTTGCATAATCGTACAAATGTATACAGGTGATTGACTTATACGGATAATCAACAACCAAAGAGTAACATGTGTATCCGCCTCTATCAGCCACGCACGACATGCAACAAAATGGCTGCTGTTGGGATCCGTCTGTACTTTTGTTGCACACTGAAAAAACTCTTGTGTTAAAAAAACTCTACACAAGCTTGTGTTGTTTTACATTGCATTAATTGGACATCTATTGCTTACCTGTAAATGACAGATCAAAATGATCTACTCTAAAAAAAAGGGGGGGAAGAAATAGTTATTGCAGTATTTTGCGGATCATGCGATCCAAAAAGTTGTAGTCATTCCTGAATTTAATGTTAATATATCAAAAGGCTACCAGATGGATGCTCCACCCATACCGCAGAATTAACGGCAATATCCACAGCTCTTAAGTGGCTTATGTCATCCACCATTCAAAGAGCAGTCATTATGTCAGACTCCCATAGCAGCATAAAGTCAATAATACACGATAAAACAACATCTAGACCAGAAATGGTTCAGAATATTCGAGTAAGTGTTTTTTCCCTCCGAAAGAAAAATAAAACCGTAGAATTTACATGGATACCATCCCATGTTGACATAATCTGACTCGCAAAGGACTCAGCCTCTGCGAGACCGAAGACTTAAAATATAGCATTCATGATTTTAACAGATTAAATCAGAATGGAAAACTGAGTTGGCCAGAGCAAATACTTTTAGATTCAAATTAAATAACGATCTGGTTGTAAAGGCTGAGGTCAATCACCAATCTCGCAAAATTTGTGGCTTAATCACAAGACTGAGAACTAAAGATTTAATTACCGACCATAAATATAAACCAGTAAAGTGCGAATTCGGCCACACGCTGACAGATAACCATGTCGTCATTGCGTGCAATAAATTGGAAGAGAAAAGACCCCCAAGTAAAAGGTTTAAAGGGCCAATAACACTCTTGCTGTAACTAAATAATATGTCCAAATCTTCATTCTGGTCAACAAATTGTATCCCAATTCATTAGTGGTATATACATGATCTTATCAACGGTATTTTAAAAAAATGGAAAAATTCCGTTTGCTGGATGGTGTTCTCACTAATTTCACTATGAGAGACTGGTAAAAACAGTCTACAAAGCGGAAAAGGGGGAATCCCATTGTAGCGCATGCGCAGAGCGTCATATACGCTTCGCTCTGTATGTTTATACATGTAGCTGACAGTTTTAGAAGGATATAGGACTTGAACTGCTACGATTCATGCCAGACAATGAATCCATTGTTCCCGGTAAATTTATATTCATTACGATTATTTACTAATGCTCTCATGGCTTCAAAGTCAGGAACGAATTGCGAAGTGAATGATCCGTATTTAGATTGAATGATTGTCATTTGGTAATGGGAGGCCTACTTCGACTAAATTAGTATCGACTCACTGCATGGCTTCACTTGGTTTGGTTACCGGTACCTAATTGATGTATCAAACAGACAGATTATCTTTAAAATTTGATGATTGGGTTCATTCTTAGCTTTGATTAGACCTAAGACCGATATGGCTTCACCCACCTGCATTTTTTAAATTGATAATGAGTGATCATAGAATCGGATTACTTTGAACTTCTTGAAGTTGCAACATGGTTTGGTAGCACGTCATTTCGGTCCCGCGTCAGTTCGGACTCAACACAAACGTCGTTTCGGTCTTAGTTTGACGACCTTTCGGACATACTTGGCGACTTTTTGGACTCGGTATGGCGACTTTTCGGACTCGGACTGGCGACGTTTCGGACTCAATAACGGACTCAAAATATATAAATAATATCAAATTAAATAAATCATTCATCAGATTTATTTCTGCACTTTTGAACTTGATAATTATTATGACTGACAGTGTCCTATGTGTGTAATACATTCATTGGTGCCAATGAAGAAGCAGTTACTTGTGATTCCTGTGGTAAATGGACACATAACATAGGACATGTAGAACAGGTCCGAAACATTTCTTGTGTGCAATTAGGCTATTAATTAGGTTTATTGGCTCGAATTTTCTATGAGTTATGAAAACCCCTTTTTTATTCACTTTGCATCTACATCAAGGACAATTAGATCTTAACGGAAGCTACAATTACATGTAGCATCATCCGAAACTACCCCATCGAGACCAAAAAGAGAGAAAATACAAAAAGAGAAAACTGAGTCAACAAGGAAGAGGGTCGAAAGACTAAAACAAAAACAAAAACAAAAACAAAAAAAACTGAGGGACTCAAGGTAAGAAAAAACTCTTTTTTTAATAGTTGTAAAATATATACACAGAAACAGCAAGCAAGAATATTTATGAAAACAAATTTTTAAGATGTAAAGAAATATTTTGTAAGCACACAATGGATTATTATTTACACACTTTCTTGTAATCATATAGCAAATATATATATACTATTCAAAAAAAGTAGGGGATATTTGATTTTGGGGGCATAATACTAAAATATGCAAATGACTACGAAAAAAGTCACTATAGAACCTAACAGAAGAAACATTTCCAGTTACATGTGACGCCCAAACGCACCAATAGCTACCGCATGGAATGCAGGTGATGCTTGGGATCATCATGGGGGTCCAACCCAAGATTTGCACGACTCTGACTTTGAATGTTACAGTCATTGTGGCATTGAATTCCAGGGTGGAAACATCAGTTTAATTGTTTTAGTGACCAGAAAACAAATTTTGATATGCGTCGGCTTACCCAAAATGAAAGGTTACGTGCCCTTGGCATGCTACAGATCGGCACAACACAGGCGGTTGTGGCGCGGACGATGAATGTTTCTCAGTCTGTCATAAGCAGGCTATGGTCCAGATACCGTGATACACAATCTGTACAGGACAGACCACGCTCAGGTCGACCAAGGGCGACAACTCAAGCCCAGGATCGATTTATCCGTACCTTGGCCTTGAGAAATCGTGTCATCACAGCAAATCAGATCAGCGCTCGTCTTCAAACAGACACTGGTGTGAGAGTGAGTGGCCAGACGATTCGGAATCGACTGCATAGGGGTCACCTTCGCGCCCGACGTCCTCGCGTGATCCCTTGTTTGAGAGATCATCACATTCAGGCAAGACGTCGTTGGTGTAGGGATCGTCAACACTGGGATAATCGACGCTGGAGCAATGTGATGTTTTCAGATGAGTCAAGGTTCACTGTTGATTTTTTGGACAGACGTAGGAGTGTGTGGCGTCGTCGAAACGAGCGCTTCCAAGATGTTAACGTCATCAGACATGATCGATTTGGGGGTGGTTCTGTTATGGTGTGGGGAGGCATCACTGTTGCTGGAAGAACGGTTTTACATGTTGTTGCAGGGCGTGTTACAGGCCAGTACTACCGGGACAACATCTTGGCAGTCCATGTTGTGCCGTTCGCACGACGTCATGGCCGCCGTTTCATCTTCCAGGATGACAACGCAAGATGTCACAGGGCCAGGATCGTTACAGGTTACCTCCAACAACAGAACATCACCACATTACCTTGGCCAGCACTGAGTCCCGACCTCTCCCCCATCGAGCATGTCTGGGACAGAGGTTACGTCAACGTCAACAACGTCCTGCCAATGTCCAAGAACTTGCTGCTGCGTTGCCACGTCGGACCAATGCTTGTTTGGCAAACAGAGGAGGATTTACCCGTTACTGACTTGGTTGTGATGCTGTGGTAACTTTGCTGTTTGACCCCGGGTATCATTTTACCCTTATAATGGTCAGTCTGTGCCTTACTTAGTCTAACGATCATTTGGAATAAATCGATGAATGTGAACTTCATTTCATTTTGTCATTTGTTTCTTCGTCAGTTTCATTAGGTGACTTTAATAACACTTAAAAATCAAATATCCCCTACTTTTTTTGAATATGATCATTTCTGCTAATAATTATATAAAATATTTACACAGTATATGTGCCCAGAGATAATTATTTACAAATTGGAAACATAATTTTCAAACAATTTCAGAAAATGGTAGAAGTGGATGGATGTAGGATACTTTTGTTGTCTGTGGCTGAAAAAATGCCTGCAGTTTTATTTGACATTTCTGAAGAACCAAGAAACCAACAGCCAATCCAACCCCCATATCCAACCTCAACTGCGCCAGATTGGTGTTCCTATGACAAATGTGGAGATATTGAGAAGTTATGTTGCGGTACCAGACCAGAGAATTGTTTTTCATTAAGACCAGTAAGTGATTTTTTTTCTCTAATAATATCCTTTGATATATTTCATCCACAACAATTAATGTCACTGGCCTGGGTAGTACCGGCAACAGGAAGTTCTGCAGCCTTCATTTCAGTCAATTCAAACTGGCTGGTTTACTGAAAACAGATTTAAAAAATAGTTAAACATACATTATGCAAGAGCTAAAGCCTATTGTAGGTCTTTCTTTAGGCCTGAAATGTTATACAAACTATTAATTAGACATTAATTAACGTATTCAGACCATAATCAACTCTCGATGTCAACGCTAGCCTGCGATATATGTTGGATTATGATCCGATTTGCTGCATAACTTTCCTTCTCGATTTAACGATTAAATGGATAATCTAGACTATGATTTTTGTCGTACCGACTTTAGTAATGATGACCAAGGCTATGCAGAACTTTCAATCATTTATTTCTCGGTTCATAGTGGATCAATTTGACTGAAATTTTCAGCAAATTGCCTTTACATTATCTAGTTTTTAACTATTATAGTGAGAACTGCCAACTCGTTATCTAATCTCGCATAATGTATCTTTAATTTAATTTTTTCAGGAAGTTGAACAGTATTGTTTAGAGCCACGAGTTCTGGATCTTGCAAATGTATATAGAAACGGTGTACTAGCAATTGATATGGACGAAGACATTAATCGAAGGAGCAGACATGCAACCTACAGACAATTTGTTATGTGGTGCCACAGACGTCTTGATACAGTGAATAGAGTAGTAGTACCCTCCTGTTGTGTTTTGAAAATAGGATTATCGATTCAAGACAGAAATGGACAGTACATGGGGTTTATTCCAAGGCGATTATTATGAAAATACTTACATTAAAATCTGTTTCTGTTTCTTGGCTGTCTCTGAAGTTGGTTCTGGCTGGGGTTTTGCAACTGTGCCTGCAATCTTTCGAGGCCCATCCTTGTCTAGTGGTCATTTTCGCCTCGTTTTGCCTTTATCATCGAGTCTGGCCCTATAAATATAGTAAATTCAAGACATCAAAACAGTTCCAGGATGATTTGGCAATTAATATAAATTCTTGTTTCGTGCCAGACATTTTTAATTTTTACACACTTTATTTGATTCTTTAGTAAAAAATGGCTACTTAACATGCTTCAAATTTTTCCACATTTTAGGGTAAGGTTTCTGGTATTTTTCAGAAAAGGAGTGTGTCAGAATAAATCTGCTCTTCTTGACAATGCTCTAACTTATAGAGAGATAAATTAGCCTACATATAAGTTGAAGGAATTTATGTACTACGTATACTACTGTAAAGTTGTAATTTAACTCATCTATCCAATCAAACTTACTATGGTACTTACTTTTCTTGAGTTATATTGTCTTGAAAGGGGCTAATTCCTACAGAGGTTGTAGATATTTCAGGAGGACTGTTCTTTCCCTTTTCTGTATCAGTACTATAAAATTGGTACTATCATGTATAAAAGTGACAATATCATTACCAGTATGTTAATGATGAAAGTGTCTGGTAGCTTACCAACAACTAAGATTTTCACAGCTTTGGAAAATTATTGTGACAAAAAATGAGGTGTAGTAATAACGGATATAATGCAAAGTGAATGAAACAATAATGTCATTGAATAATTCGAAACAGTGATAAAATTGTTATTGTTATTACTACATAAATAAAATATTAAAAATTCATATAAAAGTTGTGTTCGCGTTTTTTCATATAATCCTCGTTTTTAAATTTATGGGATGAAACGACCCTATATAAGTGAGATGAAACAACCCTATATAAGTGGAATAAAACAACCCATGTAATTTTGGGATGAAACAGCCCAGGGGGTTCTACCATAATTGTCAAAAAACAATTAATTAGTTGCTGTACAAATATTACCTGCAATGAATGTTCTGAAACATACAGTGCTCCAGCATTTGAAGGCACACAAATTCCGCTATAGCTGAAAAAAAAATACATTCACCTGTCATTCATCAGAAAATTGTCTGGTAATATTAGTTATTATACAAGATAGTAAAAGAAAACCTTACAATAATTAAATTTAAATTCAGGTTACTGAGATATTCAACCATCTAGATTAAAGTACAGTAGCTAAGTCTCTAACCCAATATTATCCAAAGTCTGACACAAACTATTTGTCAATTTAAATCGGCATTGATGTTGTGATGTTACCGGGAAAAGATGGGCTTCTGACATCCAATTTTTAAGACAAAATGAGCATTTCACACGTGTACCATTTGTAACAAGGGACTCGAATAACAGGGCTAGACATATTCCACAAGTCAGGACGGTGACCCCATATTCTTAGGTGGAGAGCCTGCGTAATAAATACGATTGGTGTAGACTGGAATAACCAGACGTTATATAGATTCCCACTCATTGATACTTCTGGCGCAATTCGTCAAACATAACTGATTAGAATTTACAGTAAAAACAGAATTGATTGAATGTAAATTGTAAATCAGTTTACATACATGTACACATATATTATATTATTATAAACGTTGCGACCCATTTGTGTCAATTTCTAGGTCCCAAATATTAGCGATTTAAACAATGGTAAAGAAATAGAAACAATATTTCAGATTTTTTATAAAATGAAATGGAGTTTAACGTCCTACTGGGCTAATGAAGACAGGCATACGCCATACAGTTGCTATGAGGGAAATTTTGCCTGGGCCTGGAGAGCGGCACTACGGCCTACTCTTATGTTGAATTCCAACTGTCAAGGGATCTTTTACGTGCCTGTCAATGTGTACACTGGACCTCAGTTTTTCGTCCCCTCGAACGACTAGACAGCTGTCCTTATCAGGCCCTCCGTCCTGCATCAATGACAAGGGGGAACCACACCGGAAAATCTCGATGAACTTTCTCGGCAAATACAAGGATCGAACACCTGACCCCCCAGGCTAGCAAGCCAGCGTCTCACCCACTTAGCCACCGTGATCCACACATGTTTTATAAAGACATTATAATATTTATAAACAGTAATATTTTTCAAACTGAAACGTTTCCCAATAATAATAAGCTGAATATAGATTCTCATGATAATATATTTTTTTTGCAAATTAGGCCTACCTGTCCAATAACATCTTTGCCATTTCTTGATGAGTCTCTATTTTCAGTTTCTTCTTCAATTCTTCCCACGGTTATTAATAATTAGACTTGTCAATCGAAGGAAAAAATCACACTGGTCGAAGTCCAGAACAATAATAGATTAGATAGAGATCTAGCTGATTGACACCTCTATATATACAATTCAGACCTAAGACGGGCTGTCTAGAATGTTATTAATCAGTTTGAATTAATTGTGTGGTAATCCAAGTCATTAAAATCCCTATTTCCTTTCACATTCCCGCTGATCGCATATATTTATTTATTTGCGACAATAGCGCCACATAGGAGAGGATATCCCGCTTATGACATCATGGAAAGCTATTCTTAGCACAGGAAGTCAATCAAATCTGGAGCTTATTACCTCCCTTGATACAAATGGCTCTTAGATTATTTGAATCGTCTAACGTTAGACAATTCAAATGTGATTGGACTTAAAAAATACTTTCGAACCCTTTGGACAAGTAAAATAGGATTTAATGGATAATTAACACATCAGGTAAGACACTAACACATCTAGTACTTAGAATAAGGCTATTTTTCTATTTTCTGGAGCTGTCAAGCCAGTCAGAGTGTTATTGTCCCTTTAATGGAAGATGCCAAACTTCAATATACTCTTCCCTCATCGGAATATGTCATACAAAATCTAGGAAGCGATCTCAAATTCATAGCAGAATCGGGTATTACCTGTTAAGTTAGTTGCGAAAAAAAGCACCAGTCACAAAACCTACACAAAACACTAGTCATGGAAAGATAACTGTTTGTGTAGACCAGGTTGGCGGCTACGCCAGCTGCATGCTTTAATAATATCAGAATTAATTGACATCAAGATAGGGAACTACATATCTAGTTACAAAGGAAGGAACTATTGTTGTAGGACAGTATGGCGGTTCAGCATGCTGTATGATTTGATATAATAATAAATTAGGGAAAATAATGACAAAAAGAATAGGGACCTACAGAACCATTATTTACAATGGCAGTGTATATCAATCAATTTAATTTAATTTATGTCTAAAAATTTAATGCCATGTATTATTTCTATAAATGTTTTAATTTCTTTTAATTGTCTGGTTCTGTGTTGCTGCTGGCCCTTCTTTCTCTTTTCAGGTAACTTTTATCTGGGGAGAGTCATACGCAAGAAAAAACCCTAATGAAATGCCATTAACTTTTAATCGCTGACGCTGTGAACCGTATTAAAGTACTTTTAACTAACTTTTAGCCATATGGAACTTATTGGACGAACAGTTTTTATTATGTAAAGAATCCACTGGTCCAGCTGTGAAGTTTTTACTGCGAGCACTTCGCTTTTCCACATAACGCAAGCGGAATCTTTTTCCCCACGAGTTTTTTTTCTGTCCGCACTGATGACGCCAAACATCAGTCAGCTGGACCTCCTGTTTTAACCTATTATTATTATGACAAAGAGAGAAGATGACCCGCCCTCTTGTCTCGCGACAGTGATTTTATAAGTGTGCTTTAAATTGAGTTTTTGTTACACAAAACTTTTTATTTTGTGTTTTTACCAATTTTAAGGTGACTTTTGATATACACGGAAGTTTATATTTTTTGTTTCTACCAATTCTCAAACATTAAGTGTAAATAATGTAATTATCATATTTCCTAATATCAAATTTCATGTATTGGACGCTAACTCTTTAATAAACAACAACAACATCCTTCCTGGATTAGTATCAATTAATTACATAGTCCGGTATTAGAACCAACTCAAAAAGTGATATTATCGTGAAAAAAGTATTAAGAAAACAAGAATATCAGTGATTTTTGTATTTTTTTTAATACAATGTATTTATTAAATTAAATATCATTATGTTAATCAGTAATTCAGAAGTAGTATATCCATATAAGTGTTTTTAATTTGTGAAATCTACTTCTAAGGACAATGTATTTTTAACGCAAATTTTTCTTTTCGGTCAAAACAAATATACGCACATTTTAATTGACCGAAGGACGTGTGGCTAATAGTAATATGTTGGGCGGGCAAACTGACCAAACAGTATATTTCAAGGTATTTAAGGTAGGCTAATTCAATATTATATCATATCCGCATGAGCATAATTGTGTTTCTGTCTGATTAATTATTCAAATAATCATTCTTAGTATACACATTCGACACCGGTGAGTCCTGTTTTTTTTTTTTCTGGGCGCCATTTTGAGAAAATAGACATGACCTACATATATGTAGATGGCTGGTAACAACTGATTGTGTTCTTTTTTTCAGATTGCTGTAGATTTTAGCAATACAATCCAGCGATATAGCAGTCTAATTGCTTTAAAAGGAAATCTGAATACGTACAAAGACCTACAATAAAATCCAGGTGAATTGGAAAAGTTATTCATGTATTTTCTTTATGAAGAGTACCTATTTCAATTTGTAAATTCCCAGTTGTCTTAGAGAAATAATAATTCAAACTTCAATTCAGTTATATTCATGATATGGTGTATTCATTCACACCATATCACCGAGAATTGAATTTATCCAATTGCATAATAATAAAATCTTGACTTTTATTATTTTATTTCTTCAGGCCAGGAACATGTAAAATTGGTAATTGCCTTGTATCACTGCCAACTATAAGGTACAGAGAGTCTTGAGCAGAAATGATAATAAAATATATAATTCATGTATTTTCTTTATGAAGAGTAGCTATTTGTAAATGTCAATTGTGTTAGAGAAATAATAATTCAAACTTCAAATCAGTTACACTCATGATATGTTGTATTTATTCAAATCATACCACGAGAATTGTATTGATCCAATTGCATAATAATAAAAACTTGACTTTTATTATTTATTTCTTCAGGCCAAGAACATGGAAAATTGGTAATTGCCTTGTATCACTGCCAACTAACTATAAGGCACAGAGAGTGTTGAGCAGAAATAATAATAAAAGGTAAGACTTTTTTAATACCTATATTAAACTTAATAGGTTTAATATGGTTCTCATATGTTACTGAGTACAGACTGTACAAAACACATTTATACACATGCTCACAGAGAAGCGGGTGTCTAATTATCAGAAACAAATGTAAACTTAAATAAGCATAGCTATTTGGATAATTGCTTGTGTGGTTCTAGGCTGATATAATGCCACCAGAGTGGTCATTTGGTTCAATGTGCAAATTGGTGATGCATGTAGCAGATTCCACAGCAATTTGAGTTTGAAAGGAGTAAGCAATAATGCTTCCTGGCTAAAATACTTTCCTTGCATTCACATGTAGCCATACATGTGAGTCTCAAAATAATATCTATTGTTAAATTATGCTCTTTTCATTTCCCTCCCTAGACTTAGTAAGTTATTTTATTTTTATTCTGCCATCTAAATAACTCTGTACCCATGACTCGTATACCAAGTAAAAACCAAATCGAAACCCAATTTGTCTAAAAGTGTATTTATGATCATCACTTATGTTTTGCAGAGACTGGAACATCCTCAGAGAAGTACATGTATTTAGTAAATATTAATACCAAAGAAAAAAATCAACTCTACATTCTGAATATAAAGCTATCAAATTCTTTTATAGGTCTTATTATGGCAAACCAAAGGTTATTTGTCACCACTGCCCCTTTTTTCTGTTTTTAATGTCAAATAACACACCCTCTCTAAATATTATATAGACTGCAGTGTAATCCTAAACACTAAGAATTTGACTGAAAACTTGACATATTAAAGAGGAATTATCAATAATTAATATAAGTTTTACAGTCGATAATTATAAAACAATTCAAGCGCTGACCTGGAATGAAGTATGTGTGCTAGTAAGATGCCCGGAAGTATTATTGTATGCTGAAATCAACCTTTATTTTTAAACATTTGGTGAACATTTCAAATGTTATATGC